ATAACATCACATACTTTGTCTCTGTTCAGGAAAACAATTTTAGTTTTCTGAGGTTCTAACAAAGTCAGTGGTATATTATTGAACATAATAAATTGTATATTGTTGTTTAAAAAAATACAAGCATTTCCCACCTTTGCTTATTTTCTGACTCACCTTATGATAAATTTTGTTCTAAACACATTTATTTCCACTAAGTAAATTTGATGGAAATGCTGGATATTTCAATAACATCCAATAGAGCTAATTGAAGAAATGATCTCAATGTATTAAATCTCTTTAAGTGCTAATCTAATAAGTTTTCTGTCAGGCTCAAAATTTGGCTCTCACACAGTGATTGCAGTACTAAAATAAACTGAATGAACCGATGGCCCTGGCTGACAACCTCTCCAGGGAAAGCATTCCCATCGCTCACATCAAACCACACCTGTGTGCTATAAAGCATGAAGGAAGCGTAAATCTTTCTCCTCTAGGATCTTGCTTGAATTTGCCTACATGGAAAGGCCAATCCAGAGGATCGCACTGAGCTCTCCTGCCTGTTGCCTGAGGAATAAACAGCCCTCAGCTTCCAAAGCAGGTTCCAATCACTCCCTTTTTTAGGAGGGTGGCTACCTCTGTGGGCCTCAGCTGTCCCCCACCCCTGGGTGGCCTGCACTAGGCTGTGTGACTGCCCACTACTCTGGTGGCCTGTCCTGTTCCAGCCAAACATTAATTTGCTTGTTGCCTTTTCCTTCTGTATCCTTTGCCTAGTATCACAGGATCAGTGTCCCAAACCACCAGAACCTGACTACACACACACACACGCACACACACACACACACAGAGGTTGTAAAGGTTTTACTGCTAATCATTTCAGAGAAATGCAAAATGTCCTGACATGAAACATAAGTTCCAAACCCTTAAACTCTTGCAGAGGTCTCATATTCTTGGTACTTTCAAGATACAAACTCCATTAGAATGTTCTTCTAAATAGATTAAAAATAACAAAACTCCCATGTTCCGTCAGTGCTCTGTCCCCTTCCCAAGAATGGGTGAGGTGTAGGCGGGCAGGAGGAGGCACAGGCAAGGGAGAGTTCTGGAGCGCTCAGTAGCTTTTCCAGGCTTTTGATGATCTTTCCACACCATTTGTAGTGAGGCAGCTGGGTGCAGTGCAGGCATGGCGCCAGGCGTCAGAGGACGCCCAGCCTTTGGTGAATATTAGGCTCCCTGGGCTCTCTGGTGGTCTCTTCACTGGTTTCGACCACACTCTGCCCCCACGGTCCTTCGCCACCCCATCCTCTGCGCTGCCGCCCTTACAAGCTCAGTCTCTCAGCTCAGTTGTGCCCACTCACGTGTGCCCACTCCACACTCCAGGCATCCACCAGCATGATTACCCCGAGCCCCCACTCCCAAGCACCTCCTGCATTCAAGGCCACTAGTGATGGCCACAGAGGCCAACAGGGCAAAAAGCCTGAGCGATCTTCATGTCCCCCCCACCCCCCAGGGGTCTCCACGAAGCGCCTCCTCCCTAGTATAGTGCTGCGTTGGCCATTGCATCTCGAAACTCCTCCAGGCTGGCTGAGCTCATCCTCAGGGGACTGATGATCCTGGGCCACGGTGGCCAGCCCCTCCCCTGCGGTTCCGGGCAGCAGGTGTCCGAGTAGTGCGGGAGCTCCCTGGGGAGGCCAGGAGTCACTCTCCACTTCTTTTGCACGCTCATCACTGCAGGCTGCGCCTGGGTACTGAAGCTGTGAGGTCTGTGAGCCGAGACCTGGAGCAGTCCCGGATTCCTTGCTTTGTTAGAGAAACCACTCACAGCCTCTTGGTGTTTCTCTTCCTGGCTGCCCTCCAGGAAACAGACAGCCCTGCAGGGCGCTCTAACCAGGGCCCTTCTCTCTGCTTTCTCCTCTGATGCTATCTTTAACCCCTGGTCTACAGCTTTAGTTGTGCATCAGGAGTATGAAGCCTTTCCGCCTAGAGGTCACTTTTCCTTCTCACTACCTGAAGAGTAAAGATGGCGTTCTTCCACGTGACACAGGAACCCTTACTGGCTTGACTCTGCTCTGCTGCCCATTCATCAGTTGTATCCTGTTCTGATAAGGGTGTAAGATTAGGGCCCTCCCTGGAAAAAAAAAAAAAAGTGCAAAATGATGTAAAAATAAACTTTTGTAATAATAAAAAAAAAAGATTAGGGCCCTCCCTGGTGGCACAACGGGTTAAAACAGCACTGTGAAGCTGTCCGCAGCCACTGCAATGTGAATTCCTCCCCACCCTGGCCAGGGAGGTGACCCACATGGTGTAACAGACCCCTTCTGTCTCATCTGCTGCTCCCCTCAGCAGTGTATTTCTGTCTATTTGCCTGTTCTGCGCCCCACTCTGTCTCTGGTGAAGCCTCTTGTATGCATAATAAATAAATCTTAGGGGGGAAAAAGAGTATAAGATTATAGTGATGGTGAGAAGAGTGGTGGTTGCTTATCTTTCTGGAGTTTAGCATGTGCCAGGAGCTGTGTGTGCGTTCATGGGGGGGGGGGGGCACGCAACTAGTTTGCCTTTCATCACAACATTGTAGGTACTCCTCAAAACGTGTGCTAATTTTATTGCTTCTTTTTTCTTTTCCTTGAAAAATGTCTACTCTATCTTTGAGGTCAACAAAAATGCATCTTCCCTCTAAATTTCCCTTGTTTCTCTCCTCTAGTAGTTTTTACTGCTGCCATAACAATAACCATAAATGTAGCCACTTAAAACATCACCAGTTATTATTTCACAGTTGTGGGTCAGAAGTCTGGCACAATGGGATTCAGATGCTCTGCGCTTTGCGTTGCCGAAGGCTGAAGCCAAGTAGCTGTGGGACTGTGTTCTCTTCTCGAGGCTCTGGGGGTAAATCTGCCCCGACTCAGTCAGGTTGTTTCTCAAATACAGCTTTTTGTGGTTGTGGGGCTGAGGCCTCTGGTACCATGGTGGATGTCAAGCAGGGTCACTCTTTGCTACTAGAAGTCATCCCATTTCTTTTATGGCTTTTTAAAGGATTTATTTATTTACTTATGCATAAAAACATAGGCCAGAATGGTGGGGGGGGGGTGAGGAGATTTGCCAGAGACAAGAGTGGGGGACAGAACAGATGGACTGACTGCTGAGGGAGCAGCAAGAGAGACAGGAGAGGTCTGCTGGACGATGTGGGTCACCAGCCTGGCTGGGGATCAAACTCGTGCTGCAGTGACTACAGAGAGCTTCATAGAGCTGAGACTGAATCCCTTGGGCCCCTGGGGAGGCCCCTCTTTTTATGGTTTTCCTATCAGTGGCTAACCCAGTCCTGCTTCAGATCCTTCTCCTTTACCTTCTGCTGAAACTCGAGTTCTTCGGCTTCCAGCAGCAGGAGAAAATCAACTGTTAAGGATTTATGTGATTAGATTGGGTCCACTTTGATAAGGACCATAGTCTCTCTACTTTCGAGCCCATGACCTGAACTACATTGGCAAAGTTGTTTGTGTAGGTAATATACTCCCAGGTTCTGGAGAGTGATGTGGCATCCTAGAAGGCATATCTCTTTTCCTACTCATAATAAAAGTGAACTTGAATGTATTTCCAAACCTCGTTGACATTGGATATCTGCAGCCCTTCTGTGCCTGGGCCCACTGCGTGTCCAGGACCATCCCACCTGTGGCTCCAGCCCAGCTCAGAGCTCTGCATAGTGTGGAATCTTCTCTCCACCTCATCCCCTGAATATCTATCTCAATACCTTCGTTGACATGAAGGAGAATACAGAGAATAGGAAGACCTATTAATTTCCAATAAGTTATCCTCTCACAAAAGAAAAGGTTTTGTGAAAATTTCATTGAGGATGCCATAAATACTTGATCTAGTTCTAGAAGAAGGGGTAGGCATTCTGCAGAGGTAGGGCAAACGAGATGGTGTTCCTGGCAATGGGATGGATGCCAGATGGTAAGACATAGAGCGCGTTAGTGAACAGGGAACACCAGGTCCATGGGAGGGAGCTCAAGGGCCGAGAGGGGTTGGTGGTGCTCAGAGAAGAGTGGTCATAGACCCAATCCAAAAAGGACTCCATGAGGGACCCAGTCTTAGGCTTGCTATGTTGATGGCTAGCAGACCTACCAATAAATAATTGGACTCTTCGGTATCATCATGAAAGATCTTAATGTTATTTTAAAGTTTGGATCCAATGTGGGAAGAAACTTTAGTCTATCTTGAATATAGTCCTTCAAAACAACCCTCTCACCTGGAAAAAAAAATAATTAAGCAAAATGATCATCCTTGGGTGGGGTTGGTTTCCACCCTACGAGTCATCAAGAGTGTCCTTCCATTGGGTAAAGTGGGTATTTTGTACACCATCAGAAAAGGGGACAGAGTGGTTTCCAAAGAAAAATGGGAAAGAATATAGTAGTTGACTATATCTGTGGCTTTGCTTTCCATGGTCTCAGTTACCTGTGGTCAATCTCAGTCTGAAACTATTAGGCACAATAAGATATTTTAGGAGAGATCATAGTCACATTATTGATCTCTTACTGTGATTATTTGATTAATTAGACTGTATCATAGATGTGTAAGTATATGATAAAACAGTCTATGTCATAGGCAGTACTATTTGCAATTAGTCAAAAATCTACTGGAGTCACATGCTACATGGATAACGGGGAACATTTAGTTTCTATCCAGTGTCTGGTTGTGAAAAATGGCTATACTCAAGTTAAGATTTTGGAAGGCATTTGTACTTTGCTTCTCCCATAAGGTTTTTTCCGTAATGTGAAATTCCAATTTGAAATTTATTTTAAATATTTCAAATTTAAATATTATTTAGTTTCCCATTTGAAAATTTTCAAATCAAAGAAATAAGATCTTTAAAAACCAAACTGACATTTCCCACTGAAACAGCACTGGTTTTGACAGATGTGCAATTTCCCATAATCCATATGGCATGATTTGTGACCTCAATCCCTTTGAGTTTGGATATGGAAATTAGATTTATTGGCACGCTAGCTGTGTAACAATGTATGTCTCCCTCCGATTAGGTGGATGCTCACGGAAATATTCTGTTAACGCCTCTGGAGGTTCACAATGAAATGAATGAGGTCGCCGGCAGCGTTGGTGACACCAGGAATTCAGCAATATCCTTTGACAACTCAGGAATCCAGTACAGGAAACAGAGCATGCCTAGGGAAGGGCATGGGCGACACCTGGGGGACAGAGGCATCCCGCACAAGAAGACCCACCTAAGGAGGAGATCTTCGCAGCTCAAAATTAAAATCCCTGATCTAACCGATGTGAATGCCATAGACAGATGGTCCAGGATCGTATTTCCATTCACTTTTTCTCTTTTCAACTTAGTTTACTGGCTGTACTATGTTAACTGAGTGACTGTACTTGATTTTTCAGAGACTTCATTTAACACTGAGTGAAATATTACTCTGCCTGTCAAGTTTTTATACCTGTGTACACACACAGACACACACACATGCAGACACACACATATATACATACGCAATTGTATATATATGTGAACTTTCTCAGCATATATATAAAATACACGTGTATATGAGGATGTATGTGTATATGTTTATACACACAGGTGTAAGGACCCATGTGTATATAAAACAAATACACATACATGTATACATTTTGCAGCTATGGACAATTTAACACAGGATGCATATTAAAGAAAGTCATAGTTTTTTTCTTTTTTAATTGAAAGGGACAAGCATCGTCTAAATATTATGCCTTGAGAATGAGGGCGTGAAACACAATATCATCCCAAAATGTGTCTTTTATTATCATAAGTTAGATGTTTTAGTTTAAAAATCAGAAAGAAGCTCTTAATTCATTTTTGAAAATTCATGCACTGATATTGCTAGTTTAAAACAAGTCACACACTTCATATCCTCTCTTTCAGTTTACTGAGTGAAGGCTTTCTGACTTTTTTGGCAATGGGGTTTACTTTCATCAGACAGACTTTTTCTGTACTGGGTTAGTGGAAAAGGTGAGTTGCTGGTGGGCGCTCACCTGTTGTCTTAAAGTTAGGTAGATCCCACGTTGATGTCTGAATGTTCATCTTTTGAACACCCATTGAGAATGGATGCCATCTCATTGTAAGTACCCTGATGTACGGTGTATTTATTTGTTCACTAGGGGTGGATCCAGCTTACCTGTCATGTGGGAACACAGTGGCACATTTTGGCAATGTTTAGTTGACATTTCAGTCATTGACAATGTGCTCCGCATCTTGGATGGATTTTTTAGGCCTGATATCTAACAGAAAGCGTCTCAGGTTCTTTGTTACTCTAAGGTAAAACCTCGTAGGATGATTTTCCCCCTGGTCTTTAAGTTATCAGTCATCCTTATAACATTGTATGTTAATATGAAATATATTTGCATAATATGCATATATATGTATATTTATCAAGATTCTGTTCCTTATGCTTTCTCTCACAGCAGCATGCGATCTACTTTTCTTTATGTGATGTAACTACTTTCTGTTATGTAGAATTAAGACTGAAGCGAAAACACTTCTACTGTTCAATTTCAGACCAAGAAACATCCTCATGCCTTTATTTCTGTATCTGACACATGTCATAAGCACATCCAATTGCTCCTAGACTAACGCTGCAGGACACGACCAGTACCCACCACACAGCCACTGACCCGTGACCGTTCTCTTAAGGCGAAGGAGAGCAATCCTACAACCCACACAGTCACTTTGGTTCCTTCTGATCCACAGCCTCATCAGTATTTGGACTTTTTAAAGCTCGTAGAAACAAGACAAGGTGCACCGGTTTCATAAACGCAACCTTAACTTACTATTTAGATGAGATCTTTCTAAAGAAAAAAAAGAGATGATATATTTTTTGTAAACAATATTTCTATCACAGGCATCCATAAACTGAAATGATTACAGTTGTGCAAATAGATGTCACAGTGAAGTTAAGCATTTGGAGAAAAAAATAAGTAAAATATTCAGGAAAGAACTGCTAAATTAATACTTTACCCCAGTAATGCCACATCTGCCTCACCCTCTCTGTTCTGTCTGAAACCAACGACCAGAGTCTCATCCTCACCACTGTTCTCCAGGTGGACAGGATGTCAGTTTCCCTGGGGAGGTACTCGGTGTTGGCTACCACCATCAGTTGCGACCACTCGATTTTCCTTTGACGGCCATCACAACCTGTAATTTGGGGGAGTCTGTAACAGTTCAAAACCCACCATCAGGCAAGACATAAGCCACATAGTCGCATGCTAGGAGTGACGACTGACTTTATTACCCTGGCCCCTCCTTCATGACTTTCTTCAACGTTGTCTCCAAAACGCTGCTCTCTGACTTTATTTTCGTCTGGAGACTAGCCAAGGACTTCTTGGTCTTTGGCTTTTCTCTGACATTTTTTTTTTTTTATCATGGGTAACAATGGGGGATCCTAAAAGTTCAAGAGATTGGGAAAAACCTTGTAAGTGGCCTTATCATTGTTAACATGTAAAAAGGAAAAAACAAAAAAAGACTTTATGAAGACCTTATCCCTTTCAATACTTCAGGTATACTTTTCTGTATCTAGTGATTCAAGGGATGAGCCCCACATGCAGAAGAGGGACCCCAAAATGCAAATGAACATGGGCAAAAGCAGTTGATGATTCATTTAAATGTACAATTTATACTATTCAGAACTGTGACATTAATTCTCTCTGGGAGAAAAGTGATTCAAAACCTTTTTGATGCATAGTTGAGGTATCAAAGGCAGAGACTCCGTGGAGCTCAGAAGAGCTGCAGTCCCCAAGGTTTTCTGGATATAAATTTGCATGGAATAGTCATAATAGCTTTTGAGCTTTTTATATGCATTTGGCACCAAGACTGGGATCCACAACTTTGTAGACACTGCGATGAAGTTAACATAATAGCTATACTATAAATAGTGTTTGTAACTACACACACACACATGCACACACACACAAATACATACATATATTCTGTAAAAAAAAAAAAACACAACTTTTTAAGATCCTTGGGTATGTGTTTGCTTTACTTCATTTTGGAAGAAAATTACTTTTCTTCTAATGAAATTATTTTATAGCTTCTCCATTTTTAATAGCATTGCAAGAAATATTGAGAAGCAGAACTCTGTACTGACAGACGGGAATTGAACTGGGTTCTCTGTTCTGTTAAGTGACCTCTCATTACTCCATAGTAGTTACCGAAGCCAGTGAGTGAGCCGTGTTGATGAATTCTGAACCCAGACCTCTGATATTTTTGGGAGGTGGGCTACTACCCACATCCAGACCTTTGAGTAAGGAGAGAATAGTTGAATTTGGGATCTAATGCTCTTTCTTTCTCAACAACTGAACATAATAAAAAGTTAATTTTCTAAGTAGTCCTGTCTTTCTGAAATGTTGCACAGGAGCTCAAAATGTACAGAAGAATCTTGTTATGACAGTTTGCTATTACCCGTATTTAGTTATACGTGGGGTAATTCAAGAGCCCTATTACTTAAATCCTTACAGAGAAAGACTGGTAAGACTCAAGTAATCTTTAAAGCAGATGTGATACTTGTTCACCAACCCCAGGACTGTGGAGGGGTTTCACTGTCTATACCATGAGACATTCATTTCCCCCTGAATCTTCAATGAATAGAAAGCGTATCATGGTAATATTCCTGTTAGGTTTGAAATTACATGTATGTCTGCAACACCATGTGTTTTTAATGCCAGCACCCTGAATTTCCAACCGTTCAGTCATTCACATCAAAGGCACTTCTGCCAAGCTATGGATTTAACATTTTCACCAGAGAAATCCTCTCACAGGTGATGCCAAGCATGTCCGGGACTGGTTTTGAGGGGACCGGCACACTGCAGCCATAGGTGTTCCTTTTCAGCATCTAGTAGATAATTCCACTGGTGTCTGTCCCACCAATGGTGTGTCCTGAAAAAAGAGAATGTCCCCAACTTTCAATCTCCTGGCTTGAAAGTAGAAACTATCCCATAGTTCTTACTTTAAATTGCCACCTGAAAACTAGTTCATTTTTTCTAGCCATTTTATATAAGCAAAATAGAACAATTGGTAAAATATTTTGTTACTCGTAGAACTGACTCTGGCCCCCATCTAAAGTGAACTATTGGTCAGAGTAACATTGACACATGAGGCAAGGAGCTGCCCAGGTGAATCAAACTTTCCCAGGACACTGGCTAGTGTGCCTTGGATTGATTACCTCTTCTACTGCATTGAAAGGTGCCATGTTTTCCCGAAATACTCAATTCCCAACACCTGGGTAAACACAGCCCTCCCAGAAAGCTGCTCTCTCGCCAGGGCTCTCCCTAGGCCAGCCCCGTAGACATGTTTTGTCATTCTTGTTTCATATCTTCTCCTTCACAAGTCAGTGAGTCTGTTCAAGGTAAGTACAGGATTATTCTAGTAGAAATAGGCAATCGCTGTCATGAACAATTCCCATGTTGATTTCATTTCATTGTAAAGATCAATTAAAACCCAATTTTGCTTAAGCACATTGATGTAATTTTTTGGTATTATTTGACATGAAAAAAAAAACAGCAAAATTGAGTGATAGATACAATATGAAACTTGTTGATGAATGAATTCAAATTTATTAAAAAAGGACGAACTGACTTAAATGTGAAGACTGAGTTTTTCCTTCCTTGTCTCTCTGTTGTTGAAATGGTCATTTTAATTCCAGGTGCTTGTATTGCACATGCCCGTGTAAGTTATGCTGAAGTAAAGAGAAATAAGCTCAATGCTGCATGTGTGATATGCTGAATGATGATTTTTTTTAAATCAGATTTATTCTGAATTTCAAAGGTAACTAGACTCACAGAAATCCAGTTTGTTCCTGCCTTCCAATGAGTGTTTTAATGAGAGAAAGGCCAGGAAACCTACCTACCAGTCACCTCTGACACAGGTAATGTTGGCCCATATGCTTTAGTTCTGTAGCACTTAAAGGCAATGTCCTTTGTTTCTTCTACAGTGTGAAATAACAAGCAATGTCTGGCAAGGAAGGAGGGAGGGAAGGAAGACAGGCAGAAAGAAAGGAAGTAGCAGGGGAGGTGTGGAGTGAAAGGAGGGAGGAAGGAGGGAAGGAGCTAGAGAGGGAAGAATAGAAGAAAGGAAGGAAAGGAGGAAGGACCGGAGGGAGGGGAAGAGGGAGGCAGAGAGGGAAGGAAGGAAAGAAAAAAAAGGAATTCAGATTGTCAGACACATCAAACCTGAAAGAAATTATATTGAGAAATAAATCTTCAAGGAAGACTACTGATTCATTTGTAAATACCTTCAAGGAAGTTCCCCACAACATTGTCAGTCTGAAAAAGTGCCCTCTGCCAGGGAGTATTGAATGGTGGTTTACCTTAAAATTTGTCTATTCTCTGCAAAATAATACAAATTTGCCAGTAAGTCTTTGTAGGTCCTGGTTTTCTTCTCTCATTGTATAGATAGGTTTCATACATCCTTGGTTTACTTTGGGACCCTGAATCGGACATATTTCACACTCATTATTTGCCTAACACTAGAAATATCAGTATAGGGACACTTCTCACTTACGTCATTAAGTGGGTAACATCAGATAAGTTACAAATTACTACAGAAAAAAAGGGATTTCCAAGTTGACCAAAAATTTTTAAAGCTACTTTTAAGCACACCCTCCTTTTCATTGATCAGGTAAACCTCTCCAAATGCAGGATCCAATTACACCCAGGGCTTCTGCCTGGAACATCCTCATGCAGAGTCCCAGGATTGCCAGAACCCATACACATTTCATACCGTTTTATAGGTCTTGCCAGATTCTCGAGGACAGAGATTATCACTGCGACTTTGAATGGGAAATTGTTATTGTTCTTCAAAGAGTAAATGAATCTTTGGAACTCATGGTAACCTATTAGGGCAGATAGCTGTGCCAGGACTAGCAGTTCTTGATTGAAGCACTTTTAGCATTTGAGGGACACACATGCTATGATCCATGAATTATCCATAAGTAGCTTCCATGTCAAATGCAGGCAAGCCATACTGTGGATACTTGCAGTTCACTAACTGGCCAAACTGAAGGCCTACCTGGAGTGGGTGAGGGTGTGGATGTTACGTGTGCCTCTTGAAGTCAATTAGGAAACCACTTAGTGGCCTTGGTTGCCAGATGATTGGAAGAAAATATCTTCACAGCTAAAACTTTCATTTATTTCTCTGGGTTTAGACATCTGCTAGACACTCCAAATTTTTGCACACCATTTTTTAGCTAAGACAAATTTTTCCTGTACTTCTGTTAAAAATACTGCATTTAATCACGAAGAACTTGTGAATTCTTTTTAATTGATATAAGACATTATATTCATTTCAAGTGTATAACATAATGAGTCAATATTCCATATATTATAAAGTGATCATTAAAATTCTAGTTAACTTCTGTCCCTATAGTTCAATTTTTGGTGAGATAATATTATTAACATGCCTATCTTTCAATGTTTTATTCCCCCTTTCTCAACTTCCATCTTCTCTTAAATATAATTAAATTTGTATGTTGTCCAGTTGAAAATTTTACATTCTGCCTACCATCATAAAATTCTATTTTAGCATCTAATATTATGTATATAGATTAATTATAAAAGTTGGTCATTAGTAACAACCCACATAGTTACCAAATAGGAACTCTCTACTCTGGGACAACTGAGGAAATTTGTATTTAATGTGAGTTTTTTTTTTTTTTTTATTTACTTGCTGTACATACTGGGTGAAACTCTAAAATTAAAGATATCTTAGGTGTGAACATTTTTCTTTTATTATTTTAAAAGAAATCTCTACCCTTTTCCTGTGCTTCTGCACTGAATGCTCTGGCCCTTAATATATAAACACTCTCTACCACTATAGTTTTATGTCAGTTAAATGTCCTTGCATATAGACTTTATATTTGGCAATTCTGTTTCATTTTCTAAATAATGCCTTGAAGCAAAAGTGACATTTAAAACTACACATATTTAAAATGGACAAATTTTGACACATGAAACCATCATAACAATAAAAGTAATAATACACCCATCCACCCTAAAAGGCTTACTTGTGTTTCTTTGTAATAGCTCCAACCCACTCCAAGACATCCATTCCTGAAGCCACACAACAACTAATATGTTTTCAACAACTGATGCATTAGGGGTTAGGTTGTATTTTTTATTTTTAATTACATAAATGAAATCTAATAGTATGCACATCCCCCTCTAGCTTCTTTCACTTAATTATCTAGAGAACACTCACATCATGTGTGTCCACAGCTCTCTACCTGTAGGTCCACTAGCTTTCTATTGTGTGACTACTAATATTTGTCAATTCATTCACCTGTTGACACATTTGGGTTGTTGCCACTTTTTGGCTCTTATTAATAAAGCTGCTATGAGCATCAGTGGATAAGTCTTTGGGTAGACATATGCTATCCTTTCCTTAGGTAATACTAAGAGTTCAATAAGAACTAAGAGTTCAATAAGAACTAAGATATCTTATGGATAGTATCAGTTTCACTTTCTATGAAGTATCCAACTTATAAAAGTGTTTTTTTTTTTTTTTTTTCATTTTACATTTCACCAGTTGTGTTTGGGACTTTTAAGTTCCTCCATATATTTTTCAGCACTTGGTATAGTAGTCAGTCTTAACAATTTTAGTTTTCTAATACTGGGTAGTATTATGAAGTGCTAAGTGTGTGTGTATGTGTATGTATGTGTGTATATATGTATGCATGTGGTAAATAGTATAGTGGTATTCCCATTGGTTCTAACTTGCCTTTTGTTATGATGAGTGCCATTGAGCACCTTTTCGTGTTTTTATGTGCTTCATATTTGTCTTCATTAATAAAGGATCTGTCTAAATTGCTACTCATTTTTAACTGTTTCCTTATAGTGTTTTGAGAATGATTTATAGAGTTATAGACTTTGGCTACAATTCCATTGTCATACATATGCTTCATAACTTTTTTCCTACATGGATTTTCTTTTTATTCTCTTAGTTTTGGGGAGAAAAGAAGTTGTTTTTTGTTTGTTTGTTTGTTTAATTTTGATAAAGTCCATTGAAAATACTTTGTTTTAATTTATGGCTCACATATTTGGTATTGCTTTCAAGAATCTTTGCCTAACTATAGGTTACACATTTTTTTAAATTTATTTCTTTAGGTGTCCAAAAACATCACAGATGTAGAGGTTGAGGGGACTGACCAGAGACAGAGTGGGGAGCAGAACATGTAGATCTACTGAAATACATACACTGCTCTGAGAGGAGCAGCACGGAGGGATTTTCTGCATCATGTGGGTCATCTCCCTGGCCAGGGGATCAAACTCATGTTGCAGTGACTGGTGACAGCTTGATAACACTGAGACTAACCCCTGCACCACCAAGGAGGCATACACATTTTTTCCTTAAGTTTTCTTATAGAAGTTCTATATTTTAGGCAATATATATTTGGACTTAAGATATATTTTGAATTAATATGATATGCTTAACATCATAATAAAGTAAACATCATAATAAAATAATACTTTGTATATGATGTGAAGTAGTAATGAAAGTTTATTTCCTATATATGCATATTCAATTGTTCTGGCACCATTTCTTAAAAATACTATCATTTCCCTCATTGAACTATCTTTGCATCCTTGTCAATCAATTGTCCATATAGATGTGGGTCCATATTCAGACTCTTTATCCTGTTTCTTTGACCTGTTTGGCAACATTGAAGTCAAGAACCCTATCTCAACCAATGATGTTTATTATGAGGCTAAAAATTAATTTTCTAGTTCATGGCTTAAATATACGTATGTGTGTATGTCTGTGTGTGGGTTTGTGTGTTTGTATGTTTATATATACACATCGATTCATTGAATGTAGAACTGACATCACAAGAGTTTGGAGTCTCCTGATCCATAAGCAAGATTTACCTCCCCAATGCCAGGGTTTCTCAACCTTGACACACTGACATCTTGAGCTAGACAGTTATTGTGGTGGAGTTTTTTCATGCTTTCTAAGATGCCAAGCAGCATCCCTGCCTCAACACATCAGATGCCAGATGCACACCCTACCCTTTTACTTACAGTAACAAACATGTCTCCAGACATTGCCAAATGTCATCCAGCGTGAAAATTGGTTGAGGCCCGCTGATTTTAGCCATCTTTAATTTCTTCAGCAATATTCCTTGAGTTTAAATATAGAGACTTGACATCTTTTCTGGAGTTGATCCCTACTACTTCATATTTTTGGATGATATTGTAAATGACATTGAAACATTTTTATTTGTGATTGTTGCTAATATGTGGAAATGCAATTGTTTTTTTGTATATTGATCTTTGTTTCCCTTTGGGCAGCAATGGTTGCTGAAGTCTCTCTGAGAATAGTAAAGATTTCCTGGGGTCCCAAAGTGTTTACTTTTATGCTAATTTTTCTGTTTTGTTCATTGTGGGCTTTTTTTTTTTTTCCATGTGAGTGGTTTTCTTTCTAAGACTAATGGTATTTTGTGAGGTGTTTTGTGAGATAGCGTTCTCAGGTTTTCTTTGTATCACGTATCTCATGTGGTTCTCTTTAACAGCAAGGTTTTTCCTGTAAATACCAACACTGAATAAGAAGTCTGGGTATGTTTCTGAGATTTCAGCAGGAATAAGTTTATTATAGGCTGAGCAGAAAAGTGATCTAAACATCAGGAACTCCCAGTGCCAGAATAAAAAGGGCTTCTTAAGGGCTACTATGTCTTTTCTGGAAGTTAGTCCCTCATAGGCAATTATTTTTTCAATTTCTTTATTAAAGATGTGTGTGAAAACTTTTGGTTGTTGTTGCTTGTTTGTTTTATCCTGGTGGTAGATTATGCCTAGGACTGGAAGGAAGAGGGTGAAATGTTAACGAGGAGAGCCAGTAGAACTGGTCTTGACAAATAGGGATTTCCAGGAAACCTTCAATTTTTGAACACCTCTTTCTTACTCTTCCATCCCTGCATTTAATCAACCTGTAATCAGAAGTAAATAGCTTAGAACCTAACTTTTTAGGTAAAATCA